AAATCAGCACAGAAAAAGTGAAAGAAGTCATAGATTCTTTTAAGCCTGTGTACCAAGATGACTTGAAGACCCCTTTAAACAGCATCTCAATCATAAATCTTCTGAATTGCAAGATGATAGCATCATGATATCTCCCTTCCCATCTAAACCAGCCTCAATACAGCACTTAATACAATTCAAATTATATGTTTTGTCAAACACTATTGGCACAGGAACCCCCTGTGGTCAGCACTAATGTGGGCCGTGATGCAATAAAGCCGTAGAAAGTCCTCTGCAGTTCCATCCGGCCGTGTGGAATTGTATTGATCAGAGCCGCGATTAGGGAAGACTATTGAAAAATAATGATTCCCTTCTATACTTATGCATATATATTGCTCTGAGAGATGCCCGGAGATTGAATGGCTTTTTCCGACCGTTTCACAACGCATGCCAGGCAATTAATGGCGTCTTCTATTTCTGATTACAGTGGGTGTCAGCATCATCTGTACCCGAGGCTCAAGGGCAGTGCAGTCTCCTGAAACACAAACACAGACTTTATGATGTGTACATGGCACTGCCTCCATTATTTTGGAGAAACAAAACGGAGGTATGATTCCAACCCACTCTAAACGGCTTTGTGAGGATAACTTCGCCCAACTCTGCATTTTCAGTTTGATGCGGTTGGTATCAGTCTGATCATTTAAATACGATACAATTCAATTTCAGTCACGCTGCAGTGGTGTGATTGGATTGATCTTGCCAGCGCTTGCACTTGGTATACCAATGATAATTACAACTGATGGGAAGCGTTTGCGGTGTGTGTATCGCTTGTAATGAAATTCTCTTCAGCCTTATCAGAGATGGTAGTTTGGGAGACTCTGGCCCTCGCCGCTCATGTTTGTGCTTGTGTGCTAATGTCTGTTTGGATGTGTTTGCATGTGTCCGAACTTCCAAAGGCTGTTAAGGGAGCTCTTCTATTCTCATTCCCATCACAATCAGCAAGTCAATATCAAGCAGCCTCAAGATATTGTTTTACATCATAAAGCGGCAGGTTTGATTGGGACGAGTTGCAGCAAGGAGTATTATTCAATGAAATGGTATTTTGCTCCTCAATATATTTATAATCACCAGCTTAATGAGCAAATTAGTGTTATACATTTATGTATAGGAGAGTAGCACGTCCATTCTGATGATTGATCACACAGTATGTCTGTGATCAATAATCGTATTAGTGTGATTTAAAGTCACCATAAAAACAGAAATTAACCCTATTTACTGTCTAATAGATGATCTTGATTCTATTATGTGCAGGTTATCAGAAATAATGATATGCCACCAACAAGTTTGGGGTTGGTAAGGTTTTTTAATGTCTTTGAAAGATGTATTTTGCTCTCCAAGACTGCATTTATTTGGTCAAAAATACAGTAAAAACAGTAAAATTGTGAAATGCTTTAACAATTTAGAATAGCTGTTTTCTATTTTAATACATTTTAAAATGTAATTTATTTCTGTGATGGCAAATCATTTCAATAAGCTGATTATTTTATGTATAACATAATAAGGTTAGTTGGTGAATGGAAAGTTTAAAAAACACCATTTAGTTGATTGATTGATTGATTGATTGATTGATTGATTGATTATTAGGATTAGTATTACTCTCTTCTCTCTCTCTGTGTGTGTGTGTGTGTGTGTGTGTGTGTATTTTCTATATATATATTTTATTCTTTGTATTAATCTTTAATCTAATGTAAAATATAATGTGTTTTTTTTTTCACTTCCCCTACAGTTATGTCATAGAGACACGTTTCACTACCCAATCAATTCCCAATGGATAAAATCAATTTCCGCTCAACATTTTTTCCCAATAAATATCCTGTTTCACTTGGAAATACATCAGATTTCAGAAGTAAATTTGGTTGTAAACACCATTTCATGTTAACTTGACTGGCTTGTCCATGTAGGACACCAATATAGCTGTACCATAAACACCATCTATTCCACATTAAGGAAGTTCATTCATGGCAGCCTTATGTAAGTTTTGGAAAAATAAACATACCTTTTCAAAAGTCCATAAACAAACCTCCTATGTAATCTTCCCTTCCATATTTAGTTCCTTCCCCAACAGACTACCTTTGATTGAAGTTTTGCGGTCAACATCAGAGCCCATATGACTTTCTGCCACTCTGAGTTCTGAGACAAAGATCCACAAAGAGACGTCTGTGGCCCAGTTAATGGAGGAAATGCACTTAAATCTCAACTTTATGCATGAAATGTACTTAATTGTCCAACAACTCCAGGATTCTACCCTGTGTCAGTATAATTGTGGTGAATGGCTTATCGGGGAGAACAATTCTGTGCCACGATTCTCATTTACTTCTTCCAATTCTGGAGCTGACCTTTCACCATTCTAATTTTATTAAGAGGTTATTAATGCTTTCTCACCACACGCTCATACAGACTGCAGTGCATTTCAGCTCTCTAAAGAACTTAGGGAGAGTCTTTTCTGCATGATATCATTCTGTATTTTGTTATTTATTATACAGTACTTACATATATTACATATGAATCAGTTTAAAGTGCAACTGGTGAATTCATCTGGGTTTCACAATTTTGCTTGTGATGGAATATGCGCCAGTCAGTGGTGTGTTCCTCACAAAAAAAAAATGAAAAAGGATACTTTTTTTTCGTGAAGACTTTTAGAGAAGATCAGTTTGCCACAGAAAAGCATGCAAATATCCAATCATGGATCCACTTTGTGCTGAAAGAATAACCCAGAAGGAGGAGATTCAGTCTGAAAGCACAAGGCGAGGATGAGTGGCGGGCATCTCACTAATCCACCTAAAAGCCAACAGAGAGACACATCAGTCACAATAAGAGGAGGTGCCACAGAACAGAGACACTCCACACTTCACAGTATACTTCATGTAAATCTCCCTCCCCTATAGTGATTTAAGCATGGTTTTAGTTTGAAATCAGCATGTTATTTAATTTAAAACAATAACATTTGATCATAGAAATACATCTTTGTCGAATAAAGAAGGAAAAGCAAATAAATCAATAATAACTTGTATGTGTAATTCAGTTGCTGGCTTAAGAATGGCAGCAGGCCACCAGGTGTCATAAATAGGCCATTCATAATTCACATGGATGTTTATGCAATGTCAAGGGCAAACTAAAACCTTCCTGTCTCTGTGGCTTTCACTAGCGGCTGAAGTCTTTTCTTGTCGCTCAGTGGCAAAGGAAAAATTAGCTTTATTGCATTTTTTGGATAAAGGTGATGGCACATGCATATATGCGACTGTGTTATGTTTTCCATAGGCATTGCACCATAATTCCTCTACAGGTCTCCTTGTAGTACTTGTACAAGTAGACCTGTAATTATGTAAATATTTATTTTCATTTAACAGATTTTAGTATAGTTTTATTATATTTTTGTATATTTGGAATGTAATCTAACATTTTTTGTTTAGTGTTGAGTTGGGTAGCGATTTTAAATTTTAATTCATTATTAATTACAAAAACCTCCATGTAACTACATGTAACATTTGTAAATAACTGTAAATAATAATAAATATTATTGTTATAGGTAGTAAGGACATCGTGGTACTGTTGTGAACGCGTGTCAAACACTGACAAGGAAAAGAAGAAATTGTTGAATAAAGTCGTTATTTTTGTTTTCTTTGCACACAAAACATATTCTTGATCTTCATAAAATTCAGGTTGAACCGCTGATGTCACATGGACCATTTTAACGATGTCCTTACTACCTTTCTGGGCCTTGAACGTGTCAGTTGCATTGTTGTCTATGCAGGGTCAGAAAGCTCTCGGATTTCATCAAAAATATCTTAATTTATGTTCCAAAGATGAATGAAGGTCTTAATTAATGACAGTATTTTCATTTTTGGGTGAACTAACACTTTAAGATTTGCATTTTTAAATAACAATGAACAAGACCCATACACAGCATTACCTAATTATTGATAATGCTAATTTGTACATAATATACTAATGTTTTTCCTAACATTAATAGCTGAATTTCTTAGAATCAATTAATTCATTAGCTAACATGAACAAAGAACAACACCACAATAAGATCCAGCAATACCCCTAATAATGCTATTTTCCTGTTGAATAATGTTAGTAAAGAGCCTGCAAAAATGAGTATCACATTAAGTAATGTTGAAATATGCCACAATTATACAAGAGGGTTCACAAAAGTGCATAATAAATTACATACAGTGGGGGAAATATGTATTTGATCCCTGGCTGATTATGTAAGTTTGCCCACTTACAAAGAAATGAAGGGTCTGTAATTTTTATGGTAGGTTTCTGGAGCCACTCCTTTGTTGCCTTGGCGGTATGTTTTGGGTCATTGTCAAGACCCAATTTATGACCCATCTTCAGTGTTCTGGCTGAAGTTCTCGTCCAAGATTTTACAGTACATGGCCCCGTCCATTTGCCCCTCCATGCTCTTTGGTCTTGCCCATGGTGGTGAGAGAGGTTGGAATGGAAGATACAGATTGTGTGGACAACTGTCTTATACACCTAACGAGCTGACATTAGGAGTAACTTCTTAAAGTGGCAGGACTAATCTGTGTTCCACATGGGCACATAACCAATCTGTGGGAGCCAGAATTCTTGCTGGTTGGTAGGGGATTAAATACTTATTTCACTCACTGAAATGCAAAT